ATTTTTTCATTCAAGCACTGTATGTTGCAGTGTGGTAGGCTTTAGATTTTTAACAATATGTTTTAAGGTGATTAATCTGCTGATGTGAGCAGACTGGTTATGCTGCAGGGAGCGGAAGGGCAATGGCATTCAGGGATGAGAGACTGCCCAGAAGTTCATGGTGTGCTTCTCCTCCTCACTTGCAATTCTTGCCTCCCTTCCAGCTCTACTCAGCCATCCTGTATATTTGCTTAGCCTACATAAAGCAGTAGTGATTGGAGCAATCTCCCTCTTCTCTGCTGGCTTGTACATCTGGATGTGTTTTTCCCCAGCTCCATTGGAAAGAAAGGGCAAGCTGTGTCCCCTATGAGGAGGACTCCAGGTTGCAGGTCGAGATCTGCTAACAAGGGCCGTGAGCTCTACCTCTTGTCAGGGATTTCCTCATAATTAGCTCTCAGCAGACACACGTGGTGTATGCACCAATTTCAGGTGTCTCTCAGTGAGTTGAGTGTTTGGGGTAGGTTCTGGTTGTCTTCTGCTTCTGCTGACCTGCTTGCTGTCCAGGGGTCCTGCACCTTTACTGCATCAGTTTCTTATGATCTTTGCTTTGTGGATTAGGATAATCACACTGCCCTACGTGACACACTGTTGGAAAAAAAACACCTGAAATATCTGAGGCCCTTGGAAGTGGGAGCTTATGTGGAGTAACAGTACATTTGAGTGGACTGAAAAAGTTGCGGTTGTGCAGGAGACCACTGTTGCTGCTTTTTAGATCCACACATCCAGAGTCTATAGTCCTTCTTTTCCACTCACAAATATTTTTCTATTTGCCGTGCAGGCAGCCAACTTCACAAACAGTCCCAGTTTGGAACTGGTGGTTTTCAATAGTGTGCTTTGGTAACTTGATTTAAACTGATCCAAATTTGGACCCCTGCTGAAAAGAAGATCCCATGGTATACTGACACCTTCTTCTTTGTCCCAGCATTTGTGAAACTGCTGCTTTATACTGAGCTGACTCTGGAAACTGATCTGGCTGAACATTCTCCCAGCCAAAGTGTGGGGCGGGAGGAGAAGCAATTTTCAGCCTGTTTGTCAGACTGCATCTGAAATGGCAATTCATGTTCCACCTACAAAAACGTATTGCTTGGGTTGTCTACTTATCACCAGTTTTGCATCATTAAGTGTTATGCATTCTTGGCCTGATATAATTGCAGCAGATTGCACACATGAACTGTTAATTATTTTATTTTTAAAACAGAAATTGCAGAACAGGAAAATAACATTCCAACATGTTTGCTTTTGGAGTTAACCCACCATGGCAATCTGTTAGTTTGATAATGGTTAAACTCTTAAACCCTTGCCTCAACAGGGTGCAGTAGGGTACCATTAAGGCAGCCATCTGTTGAACATACATACTGGAGGCATGAATTGCCTTGTGGTTTGGGTTTCTGACTAGTTATAATATATTCATGTTTTGTGGATGCCACTGATCTAACACTGGAAAATGCATGGAAAAGATCAGAGTTCAGTGAAAGGTGAGTATCCAAATTTGGGATTGATGCCTGAGATCCCACGGAGCAGGGAAGAGATGAAACCTCGTGGGTGTACACATGCTGATAGTAAATGCTGCTCTCTGGCAAGTCTCAGCTGCTTGAGTTGCTTAGCGATTCAATAGATCTGTAAAACTCCATTTGCAGACCAAGGCTACCATTATGTTGGATTGATTCATCAGGATGAGCAGCTAAAACAAGTTAAATTCTATCAGAGTTTTCCTGCATGAATTTAAAAATGAATTTAGTTGGTTCTAAATGGACATTTGTTTTAGTATCTTGAAGAACTGACTTTCCTCTATTAAAGCAGAATAATGTATCTATATGGTGCCCTAACTTGAACAGTACATAAAGATTAGTAAATAAGACCCCATTAAAAATACTTATAATGTAAGTAACATGGGTCCCAGTAGCCTTTCTAATGTCCATTAATGCTTATTCTGAGGATCAGAGCTCATTTTACTGAGCCATTTAGTCAAACCGTGTGATTATTTAGAAAGTTAATTCATGCATACTAAAATCTAGCTTAAGTAATGCAGAGGGTAGGAGGTAAAACTCTATGGAGACGATAGTCCTTTTTGTTATTTAATGATCAGCCATAATTAACTTGCAAATTTGAAATAATTAGAACAAATTAAAGGTATTTAACTTTGCCTCCCTAAAGAAAAATTCAAATTGCACCAAATGCAGCTTTAAATTATTCAAGTCTCAGAGGTCTGTGCTGGGTTTTTTTACAATGCCTTTTCTATGATGAGAATACCAATCTGCTTTTTGTCAGAAAGCATCCTATCAAGTAATTGTTCTTTGTGTCTAATAAATGACAGCTATTCTTCTTTGTAAAAGTATTTCAGTCTCTGAAGACTACATCAGCATTTCCATGGCATTTTAATTCAATAAAACAAAAGGTTAATGTTTTTCTACTTTTTAAGGAATGCAAATACTAGCAGTATTCAATGGGTCCTGAATGACATTTAAAATTTGCCATTCATGCTCAGCGGGGATATCGCGATATGAGGCACAGACAAAATGGAAAAAAAGCATTCAAGGTGTGTTTTGCTTTGTTGGTGATGTACTTGGATATTCATAAGGAAGCGGCAGTGATGAGACTGTCCATGCCACTCTGCAACTTCTGCCTTAGTATGTAGGCTAGGTAGGTTAATAAGGTCTTTATTTAGACGGTCTTCTCTGTTGTGTAGTTCCAGGGAATAGCACGAAGATTAATCGGATATCATGGTGCCTTGCAGGAAGTCCAACAAACCACACTGCATTTGAGTGATACAATGGATTGCTGAATTTGAAAATAGAGAAGGAACTGTTTCGTCACTTAATCTGTCTAGCTATGCGTAACTGATCCCTTTGGACCATATGTTAGTTTAAATTTTCAAGATGGCAGGAGTCACATCACTTATCTTACTGATTATTCCACAGGTGAATGAGTAACTATGTTCTGAAATAGACATACAAAACCCCCCTTATGTTTTCTTTGTTTAATTTTGGTACATCGTTAATTACTGGTTTTTTGTATCTCTCCCCATTATCCCTTTCTCTTCTTGGTATGCACATTTCTCAGATTAGGTGTTTGTTGAGGTTGTTATTAATTGTTTAGTGATCTATAAGAGCAAATACACTTGTTTTTGTTATTCCTTCATAAATTACCTTCTGTAACTTCTTAGTGTCTGTTCCTCTTTGAATTGTCTCTGCCTTAGCATCATTTAAACCAGAACTCAGTATTCTAGAAGTAACTGCACCGTGTAAAAGGTATCACAGCGAAAAAGTGGAATAATTGCTTCCTCATCCACAAGCCAAAGGTCACTGTGTTCACAGAAGATCTGAAGGTTGTAATTAAACGTACTTTAAAAACTCAGAAAGCATCTAAATAATGACAACCTTATTGTGTTTTAAATACTGCTAATCATCCAAGTACAGGCAAATGCAATGTCAAGTCCTGTATTATCAGAGAAATCTGGTCAAGTATTGCACCTTTAAGCCTCTTCAAACATTTACTAGGGTCTAACCCCACTTCTGGCTGGGTTGCAGGAATTAGTAGGTTAATAATTTCATATAATTCAAATAAGATACTAATTTAGTCGCCATAAATTTTAATAACACTTTGCAACATTATTAGTGGCCACAGTTTGAAGCCCTGAAGTAAACGGAGGTTATTCAGAGAAGTTTTATCCAACACTTCAGCCAGTTATTACAGGTCATAAACCATTAGATACTGTTCTGCATTAATAATACAGGAGTAATACTAATTGTCCAACAGGCGCAGTGGGCCCTATTAAACAATGGCTTATACAGCACATTGATTTGAAACTTAATTTAGCTATCATTTTCTGAGGGGAACATCAAATACCTGCGTTTTCCTTCACATGTACAGTAACTTCATAGTGTAAGCTTTCAGATAAAAGTTTCTTGTGAATGAGCCTTCACAAAGCTGTACCCCAAATAACACAAACTCAGTGGTAGTCTTTGGGTTGCCCATGTAAAATTGGTGCTTAAACAGGAAAATGATTTGTTTAATCTTCTGTTAACGTAGGAAAGCTGTATGTCACTTCCATGTTTGCAAGTAGAGCAGTATTATCTTGGGTTGAATTGTATTTTTTCATGGGGATAATCCAAAGTTTTCTTTTTGTATGTGTTTTTAAGTGCTTTTTTTTATGACGGTGTGGGGGCTAATGACGTATGTTGGGAATCCTCATTTAAAGCGGTAGTTGTTTTCAAGATGGCAGAATTTGAAAGCAGGTTGTCTTCGCTGAGGGAAAGATGGGTCTCCACAGGCTCCCGTCTTCCACAACTGCTTGCTCCACACCACCAGATTTGCCTCCTGGTGCTGTCTGTGCTGTGTTTATGATCTTGTGCTGAAGATCATCTGTAGCCATACTGGTTTTGGTTAGCCTTCTTTTCTTAAACTGCTGCAGTTGCTTCACCAAATACTCTTGCACCAGTTTGTTCATACATTCTCTCTCCTGCTTACAGGTAGCTCTGTTCATTCATCTCATCTCCTTTTGTATCTCATTTATTTTCTTCTTGAATGGAGGTATTGCCATCCTGGTGATATTTAAAAAGCATGTAGATGTGGTGCTTAGGGACATAGTTTAGTGGTGGACTTGGCAGTGTTGTCTTCCTGGTTGGCCCTAGTGATCTTACAGGTCTTCTCTAACCTAAACAATTCTATCATTTTATGATCTGCTTCCCTGTTGCAAACCATGGCTCCATGGCTTCTCTTCACTTAATTTTCTCTATTTCCTCTTCGCAAAGTGAGCATTTTTTTAGTTACTGTTTCTTCCAACCTTGCTCCGCTGTGCTGGACAAAGTCCTTTCTGTATCTTCATCCCACTTGCCCTGTCCAAACAATTCAGGAAATACAGGACCTAATGCTTCCAAGGAGTGAAAATGTGGGAGAGGGCTGTGTGCAGCATTGAAAGGTCTGAATGCATCATGTAACTCCATGATCTTTCTTTCCCCCAGTGTGCCAGTGTCGAAACGTGAAGATTATTTTCCAAGGACACCTCCAGTGAACAAAGCCTCCAGAACACCAGGAAGTGGTGGGAGTAGTTTGGGGAAGAAAATGATTGGGTTTGGTGCAAACATGCAAGATGAGAGAACCCTTCTTGTGCAAACCAAGAGGGAAGGCACCAAGTCAAGGAAAGGTAAGGGGAAGCACACTGTATTGTGGGGCCATGAGTGTGCTGATGGCATTTTAGAAATTTCAGATATAGGATTCAAGAGCTTATCAGTAAAATGCACAATCAGAAGGAAAGGATTGCAAGTGGCTTAAAACAACCCGAGAGAAGGGAGCTACATTTAAAATAATAAAGCGCATAGAAAGCCTTGTAAATAACAAGTGATCTTCTTGGCTGGTGTTCCTGATGGAAAGGAGAAAAATAGCCCTTTAATCTCAAAAAGCTACTTCAACAATTCTTTTCCTTTCCCAGCAAGCAGAGAGAATAAGTGCAGTGGGGCTTGCTCATGAAATGTAATCTTCTTCGTATTCTTTTCCTCCCCAAGTAATGGGTCCACCATCACAACCTCATATTTTGCCTCACAGGGTTGTCTGTACAGCTAGAATCTATCCTGCCCTTAGCTTAGTACCTCCACTTAAGGAGCAGAGAAGCAGTCTTTCTTAGAAAGGGTTGGGAACAAAAGCAGCTTGGATGTTTCGCTGCTGAGCCTTGAACATAATCCTTGGTTCAATTATGAGCTACCTTTTTTTTTTTTTATTTTAACTTGTCAGCCAGTTAGCTGTACATGTCAGCATAAAAATAAAGAAAATGGCAAAATGAGAAGAAATGTGGTGCAGTTCTCAAAGGAACAAATAACTTGTGTTATTGGTTAAGACTGTACCAACATTAAAAAGCAGTCCCTGTGAAGAAACTTTCAAAAGGGTATCATCAGCCTGGACCCAAACAGTGGCTGAGGTTAATCTCTTCCAAGGCACAGCTACAAAAGTTGGAAGCCTGTAAAGGGCTTGTGTCCAAAAAAATCAATTTCTAATTTGAAACAAAATCATTTTTGACTAACAGGGGTTCAGGACCCATTACTTTTGCTGTATAGTCTGCTGACATTTCACACTTTCTGTTGTGCACAATGAATCCTAATAGTCATTTTATAACATTGCTACACCAATCAATTTAAGCAAGAGAAAGCCGTTACAATTCTGCAAAGTTTCAGGGGCAATTTTCACTGATGGTTTTCTTTTATGGTTTTTTTTTAGCTATCATTATTTTTTTCTTCTCTTTCCCTCTTCCTTCTCCCCCTCCTTCTCAATAGTGTAGTGATGAAATTGAGATTTTTCACAGTTGGATGATGGGTTTTGTTCCTTGGATAGGGATAGTCTCCAAAAAGGTAATTTATTTGCCATAGATTTAGGGAAAAAAATCCAAGCTGGCCTCTTCTTCATTCATTTCATTTTGTAGTACTTAGGAGAAGTTACAAGCTGCACCATGCTATTGCACATAACAATTGAGCTGCACATATGCTGATTTAGTGATTGTAGTGGTCAGCATATTGTCTGAAGATGGTGGGTGTCTTTCGCAAACACTTACTGGGATTTCTGGCTTTGAAGATGTAGAGCTGTGTGGCAAAATTTAACTTACAAACATTGGCACTTGCTGTGATACCAGATAAATTTCAGAGAAATGCTTTCAAGCTGTGGAACAACCTGAGGTCTATTACTGATTTGAATGGCTTGTTTATCACAAGGCAAATTACCTAGCACTAATCACTGAAGTTGAGTCTTCTGTATTTAGTATCTTTTTAATTGGCTTCCTTCTGTTATATGTTTGGACTTCTTTAACAAGCATACACATATACTTCTAAAGTATTTTTTCCATCTTTGGATATCACCGGGGCACAATGTTAAGTTTCTTAATTCCAGTTAGCTCTGGACATAGCTGCCTCTGTCCTTGTTTCTTCTGGATCTTCCCATCTGTTGCTGACCTGGGATTTCTGCATCAGAATTTATTGTTTTATTGGGAAGCAATTATAAAGGATCTAGCAAAAACAAAATAAGGGATGCTAACACTGTTTACTGTGGTGTAATTTATAACAGTATGGTGTTTGCCTTACTGTGTCAGAGTGCTGAACCAGCAAGCCTGGGTATCTTGGATCCCACTACTGCAGTGTGTTTACCTCAGCTCTCTAGCTAAGCCATGTGATGTGGGAAAGGGCAATGAAGTCAACAAGACAACATCTTGAGGAATGAAACTCAATATTATTTAGCCCCATACCTTAAGGTGGCCTTTTGATCAGAAAACAGCAGTGCTGGACACTGTATACAGAAACATGTCCACTGAAAGCTTCTTGAGAGTCAAATGCTAACCTTTTGCTACAGAGGTTTATTTTTCTCATGCCTTGATCTTTCTTTTCTATTCTATTTAAACTGTATATTCTTCAGGATGGGGACTCTCTCCAGGCACACCTTAGTGCAGTGCCAGTAGTGATGTGGGTCTTTGGGCTCACTGTGTAATCTCTTTCTACCACTGGGAATGGTGGGTGTATCCGGGCTATGGTGCAACTTATGATAGTGTCCCCCCACAGCGACATACGCAGTTGTACCAGGTTTTTGTGTTCAACTACCTCTGACTTAGAATTTTGAGAAGATAAAAGGAAAACATTCCCATGCTGGAATGGTGGAAGGCTTTACTGTTCACAGGACTGTTTGCTTACTTTGAGTGCGGTGTTTGGAAGGCTCACGTTCCAAACCCACTTGTTTCTCCCTGCAGATGTTTAGTAATGGGGAGAAGAGCAAGAAAAACATTGTTAACCCGTTTCCATCACCTCATGGAGTGGAAGGGGCACTTTTGCTCTCTTTTCAGGGTAGAAGCTTAGTGGATCAGCTTAGGCAACCAGCTTTTATTCTCACTGTTGCTTTTTGTCTCCTATTTCTATTTGCTCCTTAAATTTTATTCCTGTGCTTTAGGAGGTGCTTTTGTCTTTTAGACAAACTTTTTTAGTTTTACCAACAAAACTTTAAATAGATGAAAAAATCCTGAAGTCTTAGATCTTTCCAGCAGTAAATTGTTTTTATTGGTGTCACCACCAGCTATGTCAATTTGTACTAAAATCTAACAACTCTGGTTAAAAAGCACTGGAGCACAGAAAGAAGTGTTTCTCTTCCTTTCTGCCCTGGAAAATTTTACTTCTAGGTTGCAAAACTAAACTATATTCTGTCCATTGTGTTCTGCAATTTTGGGCACTTCTTTACATTTTTGTTTAAAGTCTTCCTCTTCACAACACTTCCTGAAATACCTTTACATTGAAACAAAGAAAGAACTAATTTTCCCCTTTCTTTTAGGGGGATATAGCATCTGCATGGTATTGAATAGCATGCATAGCTTTCCTTTCCATATATAAAAGAAAAAGGCCAGGGAGGGAAAGTTATTTTGGCTCACAGAATCTATACTTTTCCAGGGGCTGTTTTTTCAGTAGGTTTTCTAAGAGAGCTTCTTTGGGATTTAGAATCTGGAACTTCTTCCCTAGAGGGAAGACTCTTCCCTACAATTGAACAGAGCAATTAGTTAATATTAGTGAAGCACTTTGAAGATGTGAAGTACTATATAAATGTTAAGTATTATGAATATTAGTATTATTCAATTCATAAAGATTTATTTTATGATTATGAACCTAGATTTCCCTTTGCTTACTTGCATCCCATTACTGCTGGAACCAGCCTTAAATGTATTTCTTCATTCTTAGTGTTTACACTTCCAAAATGTGGACTGCTGTATTTCTCCATGTTCTTCATGTTTTAGTTGTCTGTTCCTCAAGTAGAAATAGACAGCTATTTGAATTTTCTTGAATGAGTCTTTAATCTATTTTAAATCATTCCCATACCAAGTTAACCAAATTGAAAATAGTATTTTTAACATTACCATTTAGAAGACATCTATAATTGCTTTGGGATAGCTTGCCTTGCAAGCTTATATCTAGTTTGTTTTTTGCTAATCTTTGCTACCCCAGGTTCTCTCCATTGCTGTCAGATTATCACACCATATATAAGCCTTTTTTTTTTTTACCAAGGGTGAATGTGTCTGTTCTTTTTCCATGTTTCTTGCTTCTCTAGATCATCTGCAAGGTCTCCAGTCTCATACCGTCTTCCAACACCTGCAAATCTAATTAATTTGCTGTCATTTGTATCACCTCGGTTCTCTATGACTTTTCATAAATAATTACCAGTCACTTCATAAATTCATTAACTAATTCCCTTTAGCCCTGAAATATATATCCTTCAGACTAAAGAATTTGTATCTTTTTTTTCCCTGATAATGTCTTTTAATCAGCTTTATATAGGCAGGTATTATACATCAACACGGTCTTCATTATCTCCTACTTGCCAATATTCCTTTTTGTTATTTTTTTTCTCATAGCATATTTTAAAATTATTAGTAGCTTGGTCACTTTGGAATCGTTATTGATTTAATCTTCATATGTTCATAGACCTGCTTGCTCTTTGGTGTTTCTTTTGCCTCAGTTGACTTGCATGCCTTTGTCAAGATGTATTTTTAAACATTTTTTTGTTTAGGTATGCATTTATTCAGGATTTTTTGCCAGCCCTGTTTTATATCTGTGCAGCATAACAGCCTCAGTATATTCCGACTTAGTTCCTTTTCTTGTACTCCATTTCCAGACCTGGTAATATTTGCAGACTTGGGTCTCTGAACAGTCCCCTTGAGGCTGTATTGGCCACTTCCGAGTTCATATATTTTGTTTTTCAGAGAAATACATCTACTTCGCTATGAATGTAGTGTGTTGACAGTGTGCCAGCCTTTTCTCTTAGTAGGAATTGAATATATTCTCCTACTCACCAGGTTTTTATTACTTTGGTCTTATTTTCTTAAAATCCAGCTGCCTCATTCCACTGTCATGTGAAATGATTTCTAAATATCTCTTATTCGATCTTAAAGCCAAGAGTCTAAGCAAGAGGCTTCCAGTCTTTATAAGCATACCCACTCTTCTCATCCTGGATTGGCATACTATCAAGTTACCAGGGACACACAATCAACACATATCCCCATGATATTTCTAAGAGTTCCTTCGCTGATAATTAACTCTTTGTAAGGCGAGATCTTTTCACTGCATGGTACTGAAGTACAATGCATGACAGGAGGGCAATAAGAACCCATTGTATTTTTTTGTTAGTCTCCCTGGAACACACCTTTAAACATGTGGGTTTACAATATTGTATGTATTTACATACATCTTAATGCAGTATTTAATCTTAATGCAGTATGTAATCTCTTGAACATCCGTAAATTTTGCACTGACGCTGGAATTACAACCTTGTTGCTTCATGTTTCAGCATGGATGGTAGATAATGTTTCTGTTCACAGAGCTGGGAAATATTTAGGCATGACAGAATTACTTAAAGAGCTAAATACTGATTTGACTTTAATTTTTGCTGAGACTTGGAGATTTCCCTATAGTTACTATTTAGTTAAGTGAAGTTGATTGGACAGAACTAATAAGGCTAGAATATAAAAGCCCACACTCACAGGCTTTTGCATAGTAGCTCACATTACTCCTAATCTGCGTGTTCCACTTACCTTTGACTACCTGTAAGCAAGTTGTCTGACCTAAATCCTATCTATAAAACCCAATTCTCAGCTGGGTGGGTGAAAGGTGGAAAGATAGGTGGAAAATTGGCTGTACCACCAGCCTCAAAGGGTGGTCATCGGTCCAGCTGGCAGACACTTGCTAGTGGTTAATTGCTTAACATTAACAACCTGGACAGTGGGACAGGATGAACCTTCAGCAAGTTTGCAGATAACACCAACTGTGGAAGTGGTCACTATGCTGCAGGGTAGGGCACAGTGTTCAAGGGACCTTACAGGTTAGGAAGATGGTTTGACGGAAACCTGCTTAGGTTAAACAAAGGGAAATGCCAGTTTCTGCAACAAGGTTGGACCAATCTCGTGTAACAGGGCCAACAGGGCAACTCACAAAGCAGTTTTGCCGGAAAAGGGCTGAGCATCCTGCTGAACATTAAGTTGAACACGAGTCAGCAGTGTGCCTGTGTGCTGGAGTAGCCAAACCTCATACTAGGCCATAAGAGAAACGTTCTGGTCATCAGTTTGATGAAGTGACACGTGCCCTCTGATCAGCTCTGGTGAGACTGTATCTCTAAAGTGCTGCGCCCAGTTTGGGGCTTCACAGTGCAAGAACATTGACAAGCTGTAGGAAGTCTAGCAGAGGGAACCAGGACAGTCAGGGCGTTGGAGCATATGACTGCTGGGGGAGGGTGAGGAAGCTGGGTGGGTGCAGAGATGATGCAGCACATGTGTTCTGAGTTCTTCAGGTACCTAAGGAGAGAGTGTTAGAGAAGAGGGAATCAGACTGTTGTTGGGAGAGATGGTGAAGGTTACAACTCCAGAAATTCTGATCAGCTATACAGCAAACATTTTTTTGCTGTGAGGATGGTCAAACACTGGAACCAGAGAAGCTGTCCAGAGAGGTTGGTTTGCTATCAATGGAGACATTCAAAATCTAACTGGACAAGTGCCTTAAACCTGGTCTAGTTGGCCCTGCTTTGAATGGAGGATTCTGCTATATGACCTCCAGGTTTCACCTTTCAATGTAGAATACTTTGTAATTCAGGAGTTATTGGGGTAGAGGAAAGAAGGAGTGGACGAACAGTTTTATTTTATTGGAAGAAAATACTGTTACAGGGATATTTACACTTGGAAAGTTAGCATCTTGTAGCATGTCATGAGAACTGCATTTGTGAAACAAGCTGAATCCTGTGAACCACTGTACGAAATGATAACACATCTCTCAAACTTTGGGCAGCAAGATGGAGACTGTATAGTGTGACTTACTCTGTAGATTTGATTCTCTGTGATCCTGAAATGCATGCTATGGACATTACTGTCAGCTGATAAATTCTCTGATTGCCATTTCACTGTATATATGGCAATCCAAAAGTGTTGCAACTTTTAGTCCCAGTGTTCTGTAATAATGCATAATCACAAAACATCTGTCCAAAAATTCCTAGCTTCTGATAATGTGGCTTGTCTTCACTTCATTCCACAGGGACAACTTCAGGACCTAGGAAGGATGCAGCTACATCTCCCATACTGATAGGCAGCAGCACATCCCCAATCCAGCATGACATTTCACAGTAAGTCACTAGGTAATCTCTGGTTTAAAATTCTGCAAACACAACCATCAAATTCTCCTAGATGCACGGAAGTAACCGAATTTCTATGATATTTCATATTAGCACGAGCTGGATAATACAAACTAAAAACTAAAATATCCTTTTGACATTTATAGTATGCCTTAAATTACTTGTTAGAATAAGAAGAGCAGGAATATGCCAAGTTCTAACATTTTAATTTTGCTTAGATTTTGAACAGAAAGTATGTTATGTTCCAAGTCCTGACACATTAAATACATTTGTAAATAATTTGAATGGATGGTGTTAACCCCCTGTTAGATTTTTAAATCCACTTGAAGTTCTTAATCCCCCTGTACTTACCCCCCTCATATTTAATCAAATGGCATTTCTTTTAAAATGTTTTGTACAAGAGTTGTTTTATGTTTAATGACAAGCAACAAAATCACATTAAGTCAGCAATTCCTGATTATACTATATATCTGCAATAAACGCACTGGAAAAGCAGCATTATCGCTTCTGCTCCAATGAAGAAACAGAAAGCAGCATTGTTGTTACACTTACGACATGAAAAACAACTTGCCTCCTTTAGGTAGGATTACAATTCTAGCAGTAAGTGCCTAGAAAAACAGCGTACAATCCTTGTTTTTCGTTATCATATCCCACATTTTCTTATAATAATATCTTAATTAAACAACAAAGTAAACGGAGGCAAAAGTATGAATTTGCTGTGTTTTACACTGCTGGGTGGATGATTTTGTGCAGTGGGATGACAAGAATGTATGACCATTCTTAGGAAGAGTTAAATGTTTCTTGGAGAATGGGAGGGCTTGAGTCAGATTTAATATTCTCTTGGCCCAGTGGGCTAGGAAAATGTATGCTTGATATCATCCCTGTATTCTTGGCAGAAGCTGGCAGTTTATTTCTATCTTCTGAGAGAACTTGCAATATATAATAGGTGGTAAACTACTACCAATATTGACAAATTTGTACTTACTTGCTATAGAAACACTTCTTTTTTCCTTCTGAAGGAAGAGATGGTAATTCTGGAAGGATTTAAGAACTGGGATAGATTGTGCTCTGTTTCCCACATATAACAGTATGTTTAAACCCATAGAAACTACAGGGTTGCCTAAGCATTTCTCTTAAAAGCAAGGGTTACCTTCGCAGGGTGGTAATATCAGATAAAGAGTGTGTAAAGGTATAGCTTGATACCGTCTAATAGTGATAAGTTGAAATTCCATTCAAGCACTGAGGAGTAGATATAATTATTCACATCATACACAACTGTTCAGAAAAAGGAATTTTATTCAAGAGGATTGATGGTCCATTCTTTTCCACAGAGGGGAGTAAAACATTTGTTGAAATATGCAGTTAGAAATCATATCAGATAAAGTGATCAGTAAAAGGAGTCTGATTAGCTGTCATCCTTAAAGGTTTATTGTACCAGTTGATGACAAATTGTGAAAAATCCTGTATTTCTGGGTGCTGTCTTGCATGCTTCCTTGCCTTCTTTCTCTCTGCTGGTGCTGTAAGTATAATTGACCAGTTTAAGCAGCCATGTTGTGCTTTCCCTTACTCATGGCCTTCTCTAATTGAAAATGGTAAATGGACAAGTATTTCTGTGGAGACCTAAAGCTGATCCTATCCTTCATCAAAAAACCTGCTTGGGCAGCAGGTCAGTCTCAATTTATCATGCAATGGTAATAAGCTTAGACTGCAGGTTTAACTAACTAAATTAATCAATATTGAGAATTATTGCTGCTTTTGTGCCACTAAAGTTAGGTTTGTCAGCATGTTAGTTATAATCTGTGATTCTGGGGAGGGGGAGGGAGTTAACAGCTTAACCACAACAGTTGACCCAAGCCTGAAACTTACAGCACAAAGCCCTAGCCCAAGAGCGAATTTATTTATTCAGCAGTATGTGTAAACCTAATTACTTCTGACTATTTAAATTTATAGGACTAGATTCAACTCATGTTTGTGCCAGCTTTAACTAGCACGAACCCTGGCACCCGGCAGTAGCAGCAATGGAAAGCCTGCCAGGGAGAAGGTGTTGGAAAGCGACAGAAGCTCCCTGCCAGCACAAGGCATCAGGGTGCTTGCGCAGCTTCTGGGGAGGGCTGGCTGGATAAGCAGGCATGGCAGGTAGAAGATGCGATGGCTTGATAGCCTGTCTTGGCAGTGCTTGACTGGAGGCTTCAGTGTGTTACAGCTACCTCCTGCTTGAGGAAGAATCACTGCAGTCCTGCTTTATTCTCTGTCATGGAATGAATCATGTCTGGGACAAGAAATATGTGTCCCTAGAAGGTAAAAAGGTGTGTGCTTCGAGAGCCTTAGTGCTAGACCTGTAGAAGGACCAGACTTGCAGAATGAGTGTGCACAAGGTAGTTTCAGTGATATCTCTGAAAGAAAAATAGCATTTCTTTATCTGGCATCCTTAGTTGGGCTAATAGTGGACTTGTTTGCCCATCGTGCTTCTACATATAACAGAGTAGGTATGTTATGCTGAGTGTTAGGAAATACGACGCTGCTTTTCATAATAAAGCCAAGCATTGCATGTTTGATTATCCGGTGTTCTTAAGCCAATGTCTACACCTGCATGAGCCCCTTGAAAATATGTTCACAGCAGGTCTGGAAAGCATTTCCACTCATGTACTTATTTATCCAGACCAGAGCCCATATACTGGGGATAAAAAAACTCCCACAGGCAAGGTTGGGGTTGTGCAAATCTGGAAGAATAAGTTTGTTCCTTACCCCTAAAAGCATAATTCCTCTTGACTGTATAAACATTACCTTTTTGTTGATTTGGGATATCTTTGTCATAACTGTTGTTTGCCTAGAAGGAAGACTCGTTTTGGCTGTGAGTTGGAAAGGAGCTGGAAAGTAGGGGGTAGTGGCATTTGTATGGTTTCATTTAGTAATGAAGTAGTTTTTACATAAACTAGATCTTACCTTGGGTATAATCAGGTACTGATTTCAGCTAAACAAGTGTTGTGCTGCAAAACAGAAACGAGACTGCTCTAAATCAAAGTATTAAGCTATTTTTTTTTTCTACAAAAATGTTATAAATTGTGCCTTGTGAAAGACCATTTAATTTGATTACAGCTCTGGTGCAATTGTCAGGCTCTCCCCACGCAGAAACAGTTGTAGTGTTGAGTTTGGCACAATAAGTCCTATAACACTGCAGATAATCAAGCACTTAAAAAGATACCAGCAAAGGTTGTTCTGCTCACCATGGAAACAGATAATTCTCCTGTAGCATTTTTCACTTCAGGCATCTAAGAAGTGAATTTAAGAAGAGTTAGGTAAATTAAGGGATTGAGTGATAGTCTGGGATTTAAGCATTAAGCCTGTGTTTTCTTGTTGCAGTTTTAAATCAAGAGCTTTAATGCTAGCTGAATCCATTGTCTTGGAGTGAAGTTTCTTGTAGCCATTAAAATAAGTGATTTAGAAGTTCCTGCAATATGAATACTATATTCGAGCTATATTATTATCTGTTAGACTACAGTGGCCTGTTGGAGTTTTTATAAACAGATTGTAATGTGTAAATTTCTGTTCAGGGACATTTTAAAAACAAAACTATTTACCCAATTGCCCAGCATATCTCAGGTGAATGTGTATTCAGGGACTTTTAAGCAAATTAATATCTGATGTAAAAATATAACGTGCAGAGTTGTATACTTAATAATGCACACTGGAATAGTCTAGAGTAGATCTGTTAGGCTGAGTGTTAGGAAATACGATAGTGATAAGATTTAAGCTTTTGCCTTACATATGTGGTGGTTGTCTTTCAGATCTGTGCATGTTGGATGCTTAAATATGGTTCTGCTCTTAAGATGATACAATGAAGTTTCTTCTAGTGTAGAGTCCAAGCAAGCACTGCAAAGAAATAGATACTTTTTTTCCCCCTTAGGATCAGACACCATTCAAGATTCAAAAGGAGAATGAGGAAGATGATGATGAGAAAACTTTCATTCCAAATCAAACTTAAGACCATTTAAAGGCATTAAAAGTTTTGAGTGGAGTGGTGAGTTAGGTGGTGAATGTGTTAGGGGACGTGAGTTTTGCCTTCTCCCTGAGAAAGCCAGCAGCATGAAAAGTCCAATATAGTTCCATATTCAAGTGATAAAACCAGACGTTGGCAAATTAATCTCTCTTATTCACAGTGTAGGTTGTTAATTGTTCTCTCTGCTGGCTGTCGATATAATGTGAAATTTTCATTCCCCATTCAAGATGGAAAAAGTTGTGGCTGAAAATGTTAACATTTGCATTTTTATTTGTTGATTTATTTAAAGGACAGCCTCTCTTACAGCAATCCATCACTCAGTGACACCCCAAATATGAATAATGTATTGTAGACTTGTGGTTACAATGTGTAATAAGTGCCAGAGACGGCAGAAGAATGTTAACTATGTTGCAAATGTAATATTTATCGACTCATAGTTTATTGCTTTTGAGGTTCAATAATACTGACCATAGGACATTAATATCACTTATCTTGATTTTAGTTGGGCACCTCTGTATGTAGAAATAAACCATCTATCTCATACTTACAAAATAAATGTGAATTTTACAGTGCTTTGTAAGAAGTGCATTGTAGATTTCTTTGCTTAGTGCTCACACTTCTCCTTTTCTGCCTTCTCATTTGCTTGTGTCTGACATTGATCCCACTCCAGTTGCCTGAGCACCTCAGCATTCTTCTCGAGGCTTTATTTGCTGGCTGCATTATGATCTTGTGCCTCTGCTGGTGTTTCCGCCAGTTCTCTCTTCCTGTTAAAGACCAGTATGGAAAAAGACTGTTTGATAGTTTTCTAATGCTTCTATCTGAAAAGACACTGCCTGAGAGGCTAAAACAGAGATAGCTTCTCTTTTGGAATGGCATGCATAGGAAATCTAATTCATCTCTCTTTTAGAGGATCATGGGTATCAGAAATAGAAGTGTTTAATTAGGTCAACAGTTGTTATTGCAGTCATGGCATTTATTTTCAGAGAAATTTTTA